TTTTTTTCGAGAAAATTTCCTTCCTTATTTCAATTTTGCTGATTTTTTACAAAGGGATTATCAACTTCATTGTTCACTGAAATCTTGATCAAACCACTAGGACATAAGAATTTCCACGTACTTGATACATGATTTCATCTAAATGTAATTTATTTTTATTAAAACTTGTAAGGAACTAGAAGTAACTGAGAGGGAAAATTTAATTAAGTTGTATCTGCGTGATTCGTGCGAGTAGATTCTAATGGCAATTGGGATTGCGTTCTCATTTTATCCGCACACGTTCCTCCTCTTGTCGTGTCTTTTTATACCAGAGAGCATATATTCTTGTCGTACCTTTTAGAAGTTAAACAGCACGCCGTTTGGTGAATTCAAGCGTCGATGGTGTGTCGTTTTCGTTCTCACACTGGAGAGTATAGGTCAGTAAGTTTAACGCTGCAGTGTAGATAGAAACGCCAAAATAAAAAAAGAGGAGGCATGACAATGAATCTATGCGCCCATCAGGTGTTCGACGGAATGCTGGTGTGGGGAGATATGGGAACGAAGATGAGGTTTGCTGCTTCTTCTTCTTCTCCCGTTTTAATGGCGGAATTACCTGACCTGAGGAAAAGCAACAAGAGGAGATCTCTCAGGATGGTCAAGTGCAGCGCCGCTGGAGCTGACGGTGGACGCGTGACAGTCGGAGACGACGTGTTTTCGGTTACAACTTCTTCTAAGTATGAAGTTGACTATCTGGGTCAAAGCACCAAAGGAGATTTGAATCTCAAGCTTGATCTTCTCCAGTCATTTGGTATACATCTTCCATTTCCTTTGCTAGTTTTCAAAATTCAAACTAGAAATAACTTTGCAGTGACTGGTTAGGGAAATCGAATATGGCTGATACTTGTTTATTGAGATGAATAAGAGCTAAGGTTCATGTGGAACCTCATTGTTGTGTATGTTCCGTTGATGTTGTTTCGCTGCTCGAGCAAAAGCTTACTTTTTTCTTTATCTGCAGTCTCATCATTAGAAAATTTAACTTTGGTATATTAATGTAGGGAATGGGCAGGCTACATTGGAGGGTCCAATTGAGGAGGTAGCGAGGATGGAGGCTCAAAAGGCTGAAAACTTGATTAGAGAACTGGGTATCCAAGTTCGTTATTTAACTCTTTACATTTTTGTTGTTTGTTATCAAATCTATCGAGTTATTTCTATCTGTTTTTATTAGGACCTTCTTCTTTGGTATTGCAGGGTCCTTTCTCTGCACAACACTCTCCTCGTGGTATATTTTGTAGTCGGACATTGAATCTACGGTCCATTAGTGCAATCGGATATGATATGGACTACACTTTGATGCACTACAATGTCATGGTGAGTTCTCCTTTTCTCATACATAAGTAGGAAAGATGTATGCAGAAGATACACCCATAAGTGATGCGAATTTATTAGGCTTGGGAAGGAAGGGCTTACGACTATTGCATGGAAAATCTAAAGAACATGGGGTTCCCTGTTGATGGACTTGCTTTTGATCCGGAGCTGGTAATGTGTTTATTCTTGTGATTGTTGAAAGATTCCACATTGTAGTATGCTCTCTAGTTTTTGAGTACTAAGCCATCATCTCTTATGATAGGTTATTAGGGGTCTCATGATCGACAAAGAGAAAGGTAATTTAGTCAAGGCCGATAGATTTGGATATGTAAAGAGAGCCATGCATGGTACAAAGATGTTATCAAATAAGGCTGTCAGGTATGGTTGACTTTTGAACACCATTGGTAGCCATGGGAAGAAAAAGACAGTTGCATTGTCTTTGTTCTTTATCTGAAAAGGAAGTCTTATGCTCTTCTTTTCTTTGTATGGATGAAAGTGAGATCTATGGAAGGGAGTTAGTTGATCTGCGGAATCAGAGTCGTTGGGAGTTTCTCAATACATTTTTTTCTGTTTCAGAGGCTCTGGCTTATGCGCAGGTACTTTCATATATTACGAGAAATGATTGCTGAATAATTTGCAGTTAATGTTAGACATAATTTGCTTTCTTGATTTATAACACATACAATGTTCACATTTGTTTTCTCAACTGATGCTTCTTCACCCACCCCCATGACCTTTCTTTTTTTCAAAACTTTCCACATGGGTTTCTGCTGAGCAATTATGGTATAAATTATTTCAGATGGTTGATAGATTGGATGATGGGTCTATTTCGACAGATCTTGGCACTCTTGATTATAAAGGACTATACAAGGTTTTGTGTTTCATAGCACCTATTGCATTGAATTGAAAGCTTTCCATATTCTTTATCTCTAGTGAATGCTTTCAGGCTGTTGCAAAAGCTCTCTTTAGAGCACACGTTGAAGGACAACTTAAGGTTGATAGTCTGTCAGTTCTGTAATCATTTTCTTAAAAAGCGGTTTTCTCAGGTCCCCTAGTTAATGACAATTACT